GTAGGTCATTTCAGCCTTTCAGCAGTTACATAAGAGATTCTGCCTGATGTTGCCTTTGATGGCCCTTTTAAACCCTGATTTATAACTTAACTTTCTTTACTGATTCATCGTGTTGTTGACACTAGCAGCCTCACATGAATAAAACATGGGCTACAATGATGGCACACTAAAATCCCTGAATGAGTTTGGAGAGATATTAAATTTGAGTCCTACTGAACTTCAGCGGCTTAACCTGTATTCAGACATTCTTAGAATAAAGTAAAATCTATTCGGGGTACAGGCCACGTAATACATAAACCAGCTCAGTACTCTCATCATTGCTTTTCAGAATTCTTTTTTATCTTATAGGCAATCTGTTGCATAATGTTTTTCAGATGTCCTGAATGCATTTCTTCCCAGCAGAAACGAAAGCACGCTTTGGCGACACCTATGGGTGGAAAGTAGATTAGGTGGTTATACTGATTTAAGTGTAGAATATAATATCTGCTGTCTAGCAACATGTTAGCTGGCCTGGTAGAGATGTTTTCCATGTCATTTTTTTTTGTTTTTGTTTTGAATGTCTTGTTAAAAAAATGGGCACAAACTGAAACCTTACTTGTATAATACATGCATACAATAAATGTATTGTTGCGTTTCGTCCTTTTCTCCCTTCTCTCACTACCTCTTTCCCATCCTTCAGCAATAACAAGGCTTCACACGCAGGTTAAAGATAATCCTAAAAACAATGGAGAGCAGCCATTTAATGCGGGAAAGTGAAAAAATGAAATATATTGTGCACAGGCTTATAGGCACTGAGAGAAACTTGGCAGCTACTCTGGATTGCAAAACATTTCAATTAAAATAAATATCACAAATACAAGATGAGTTCCAAAGAAACTAGACTGCGAAGTGAGTGACATTTTGTGTAAATAGCTGGCTTTGATATGGGTAGTTGTCATACATGTTCTAGTTTTAGTGGAAAAAGTTATCATTCTGCCAATATGCATTATTCATTCCCTGGGCAGCAGTAACTCAGGTGGTTGTTAGTGTTGAGTTAGTGTTCGATTCCCACCTCCTTCTGTTCACAATTTAGCAACCATTGATATGTGTGTACTGTATGTAGGGGGAACATGTTGGACCAAAGCATCTGCCAAAGCTCTTGCTTGTGCATGATTCCAAAAATAAAACACTAAAAAAGAACCCAGATTTAGTCAATTGTATCATTTTCTGGCCAGAGGCATTTAAATGAGCCACAACTCATTTTCATGACTCCCAACCTTAAAACAGGAGCTTCCAAGGAGCACTTGAAGGCAGCACTACTCTCAGTGATTGTCCTATTGATGTGCTGAGCCATAACAAGTTCTCTGAGGAGGAGGCATCTGTTTCATTGTTAGGGCCAGACGGTACAGCTTGTCAGGGGAATTCTTCTCGATGGCACAGGCCTGCCCATGCTACAGATGGCTTATCTCACAGTAAATGATTCAGAAAACGATAATATGCCTCCAAATGGAGAAGAGGTCATCTCCTTTTGCTAATGGAATGTCTTCCTTAGTTAGAGTCTGGACAGAGCACTTGTTACATCTCTGTTTCATGGTATAAAAGTGAGGCTCTGTGTCCGCTGTTCCGGGAAAGGTAGGCATTTTTAATCCAAAACTCCTGATCCTCTCATTTGAATAGTAAGCAGATCAATTAATGTTTCATTTCGGCACAAGCAAAACATAAGCTTTTCCAGACACGAATTTAAGGTGTTAATGTGACAGTGTTAATTCCGTTACATAACTAACTAGAGACAGCCTCACTGCCAAAAAATGAAGCAGGGCGATTTTCCTGCAAAATGATGGTTTAAGTTGTCAACTCAGGCCCTGGAGCAGAAGCTAAAACCCTTCTCCGGTTCCCTGGTGTCAAAACACTGAAACGTTTATGTGCAAGTCCAGACCTATAAGTAGGCATGGGAACTTTAAGCCAAAACCTACTGTAATATTCAACAATTATCAAACTGTCAGCTAAAATGCACAAATGTCAGACAGAATCAGAAGCTGCTCCCTCACAGCAGGGTCAAACTGCTGCGGAACAGATATTAATAGACATGATCACTTCATTGTAACCTGCTTGGTTAAGTATGACTCACATTTTGTCAAGTAAAGTGTCAATCACATAAAGTATATTAAATTAGCTTCAAAATTTTCTTGGCAAAAACCCTCTATGCACATACGCACGTAAACAGTCTTTGACCCAGGAAGAGGGAAGCGCAATCTGACAGCCGACAGCATCGTCTGCTCTACTTCATACCGGGCCTGATGTCAAAATCAAAGACAAAATCTTATCTGCCCCCTCTGTCCCTTTTGACACGGACATTAGTGCATCTGAGACATGTTTCCCTCCCCATTGTCAGCTTCTTTCTGTTCTGCTTACAAAGATTAGAAAGAAGCTGACAGAGGCAAAGGAAGAGGAGAGCGACGTGGAGAGACGGAGAGGGAGACAGATTTGTGTAGACATGAATGGCTTGCAGGTGTTTTTTTTTTCGGGAAAAAGAGATGGAGTGAGTGGGAGATGTGGAGCCGTGACTTTCCCCCCACGCTGTCATTATGTTTTATGGCAGACGAAGTGTTTGTGAAACCGAAGCGAGGTGCTGTAAGGATGGGCCATGTGAGAAAGGGTGATAGTTTTACACCAAGAGTACGTGCAGCAAGAGTGCTGTCTGTTTACATGTCTGATCACAACCAACACATCTAAAAGTGGAGTGTGAGAGAAAGAGGGAGAGCATTGCTTTCAAGTAGAACTCAAGAAAAACAAACAAGTGAGTGCAGGGTGAGTGAAGGTGAAGGAGTCACTGTAAAGATAAAGAAAGGGCAGACAAGAGGCGAATGAGAAGGCTGTATGTTATTTCTGTGCAAAGAAACAGTACAGTTAGTTTGTTATGCACCTTTAGACAAATACACAAAAGTAAATTTGCAAAAAACATTTTAATTGGCATTGTTTTAATCATTCTTGGATCAATTTACAGTTTTTTTATTCATTCTTGTCAAAGGTAAACACATTTCTTGTGGTTGTCTTCAACATCAGTAAATGCTTTTTACCCGCTTCCCAAACCCCGTAACGTAAACTAACATTACAGAAGAGCACATTCTCTCATACACACTTGCATATTCAGATCCTACAAACGACTCCTTAACGGGTACGAAATTTCTAAATGCCACATACTTTAAAAGCGCGGACAAACACATTCTACATACATACGCACACAAATGTGCACACATATGTGTTTTTCTCTTGTTCGCTCCCACACTCACACACAGTCACACACACAGTCATACACGCTTGTGCAGTTGCACGCACATTCCATAACCGGCATGTATTATAAATATACATTACAATGCAGACTCCTTCGTTTCGCAAGCGCAGCACTTGAGGAATGCTGCCCTTCCATCAACATTGGCTCTGTCTGTGCATTCATGGTTGGTTTATGACATGCTTTTCAGCAACATAATCTGGTTAGCTGTATCTGTTACATGAGAGTAGGGTTACTGAGTGTATATCCCTACTGATTAGTCATAACCAGTCACCCTTTCTTTTTGCCAGGCTCAATTACATCTGACTATTTATCTACACAAGCAAAATGCTGCAGTAAAAATTCCACTGTTTAAAAAAAAGAATAAAAAATGGCACAATAGCTTATTGAGCAAAGGCCTACAAATGCACACTAATAAATTAGGTAGATAAATAATATACTTTAATGTTAAAATAAATACATTTGAAAAGTAAATAAATCAAAAAAGCACAACATTGTAATTTGATTAATGCCAGCCTACATTGTCCTGTATTACAATATAAAAAAGTGAACTTCTTTTTACTTGCACATTCACACGTGTGTGTTTTTTTTTTTTTAACAAAATGGCGGCAGCGTTACTTTGAGACTCAAAGCACAATTTCCCCTCAGGCACCTGCCGCGCTCCGGCGACTGTATGGGGTCGTTTCCATGGTGACTGTGACTGCTGTAATGGCCATCAGCACTGATTGGCTGGGAACCTCTGAAGTGGAAAAGGAATAGACGGGGTTGTCTGGGATTAAAAGGGAACTTGCTGCTGAGAGAGGTTTTTAAGAATTGTAAATTAGTGGTATTCTGAATGACTCTGCTGATTGCTGCTAGGAGAAAGGTTTGACATCCGGAAAATCTACGTGAAGTGCTGAAGGTAAATGCATCGGAACAAAACACACATCTACCAAGTCTAAGTGCCGTCAAATTACTAGTCCAGAGTCTGTATTTTTCTAGGTTTACAGTGTGAAGGCAGGAAATGCAGACAAAAGACTAGTTCTAAGAGGGCACTCGCTATCTTCTAAGAAACGCAGGCTTTGCATCTGTACCTATGACAAAGCCAGGGGTATTTTTGATGTCTGGAGAAAATGGATTCTTAAAAGGCCTGTGGATATCCTCACAAAGTCTTTCCCTTTTCTTAAGAACCACCTTGGATTCTTATTACCAGCAGCTCTCTCACCACCAGTGTGAAAACATTCTTCAATGTCCAGGACAATGGCAGCAGTTCTCATCACTGACTGATTATATAAATATCCTGTATAGCCCAGGTAAGATCAGTACAGTTCCAGAGTCCAGCTTGCTCTTTACTACTTCTAAGTTTTATCCATCAGCATACTTGGTTCGTGGTCCAAGGCCTAAAAATCCACTGCAGAAGTCCGTGTTTGCCACTTTCTTCAAAGCTACAAAAGCCTTGCTTTCATCAGCTGAAGACAGTGCAGCTTAAATTCCTCGGGTGATTTGATGTCCATGCTACAATAAGAGTGTGTAGTCTACATCCAACTCATTACAAGTCCACTTTTTACTTGCCTGTTAGGTATCAGGCATGACAGCAGCACAGAAGTCTGAATATACGTTGTGATTGTGGTCTTCATGTTGTGGCAAACACACCTGCATGAAATGCTGTGGTATTCATATAATATTGATGTCCAACAACTCATGAAGTGTCAAAATACATGGGTATAAATGTGACAGCAAAAAGGCCTCTCCTAGTCCAGGTAAGTTCAAGGATTTACTTCTGTGTCTTTTTGATTGTGGTTCTGTTTCTACTTAATTCTCTTCTGTGTTTCTGACAACTTTCACATCAACAACTTGGTGGATACAAAGCCCTTTGGACAAGGCGGTCCAGCAATGCATGAAGTGTCACTCACGGTGACAGTCGCTAGGACAAAAAGATGCCCGACACGAGCATCATCGCCACGGTGAGAAGAAGGCGGTCACGTGATGGGCTGCTGCCACTGACGCTTTTCTCCAGTTTGGGAACTTCAGGGTTAAATTCATCTGGAGAAAAAGGCACAGACAGAGAAAAGTGAGAAAAGTGAAGAACGTGAGTGTGAACGAGCGAGAGTGTGTGTGTGTGTGTGTGTGTGTGTGTGCCAGACAGAAGGAAACGAACCATTACTACATTATTAATTCATCAATCTAAAGGCAATGTGTGATGCATGCAAATTGTGCTTTAACATATGCAAAGAAAGAGACATGATGCAATTATCAACAAACCACCAATTATCATCAGCACTGCACTACATATGGCCACTTTCCCCGTGGGATGGAAAATTAAAAACACTTTTGTTTCTGATCTGTTTTTTTTCCATGTATTCCTCTTTTCACACTAATAATGTTTTTATCCTAGAGGGATTTCAATCAAACCAAATTACTATGGCCTTGCCATTGATTAGACACAACAGAATATTAGCTGGAGGGGAAAGATGGAGAAAGAGCTGGGAGAACCCATTTTGTAATATTCTGTAAAAAGTGGATTACACTGAGTCATTATGCTCTGTCTTGACATAATGCTTCCCATTATATCTAGAGGGTTATAACATGGTAAAGTAAAGGAAAAAGGAACCTAACAGAGCTCTGTTGCTTACATATCCATCACAAGTTTAAGGACAACCTGGGCTAGCTGCAGAGATGTTGGGGAAGAAAAACAGTTTTTTCCTATCAAGTAATCTAACTAAGTGCACAAGAAGGCTGCAATTTCTTACTGACGTCAGTCACATTAGGCCACATCAGACATAAAAGACAGATGCATTTGAGGGGGAGGGGTGATGGAAGAGTTTAAAGCCTTGAGATGTGACATACTGATATTACATTGTATCATTAGGAAATTATTTGGGTTTAACAGCGGAAAATTGCACTGGATAGAAGAAAAATAGTTGTTATGATACAAGAAAAGATATATATTTATTTGACAAATTGTTCCCAAAAACTGACAAAAATTGTTGTTTGTCTACTAAAATCCCATTACTTCACTTTATTATGTTGTCATCATGATGTCCTAGTGCGTAAAAATGTTTGAGCCGACTCTTCTTCTTCCATCAAATAAAACTGGCTATCAACAGGAAATTCATCAAATTAAGGGAGCAAGATGTCTTCAAAATACTCTTTCACTGTGATGTTTAAGTCTTTTCTGGAGTCTAAATATTATGAAGACAGTTATTGGCTACAACTAAAAACACAAAGGTGATAAGATAACAGACAGAGACAACAATCACATGTCAGCTGATGTTTGATGAATGCAAGGAATTTTGTTTTTGCTGTTTCTGTCCGATAGAAAACCATGCAACCGCTCTGGTTTTTCCTGGTTGTGTGTGACGCCTGCCCACATCAGAGTTGTTCTTAAGGAACACAAGGTATCTGTCCGTGCCGATGACACACGACACTGACATTCACACTGCAATGCACCGGGATGAACTCCAAAAGAAAACAGGCAGGCAAGGCATGAGGGAGAATATAAACCTGCATTGCCTCAGGTAGGGCCCACAGGTCACAGCGGGGCTTTCACACCATCCGGTTTGTCTCTCCATAAGGTTTCACCAGAGAGGCTCCAGAAGTAAAATGTAAAACTCAGCAACCGGAGGAAGAGACATCCTGTCAAGTACATGCAGACACATCCACAGTTGCTTCGCATGTGAACAGATTCATTTTGTGTGATCTTACAGACTTGTTTGTGGGTGTGAGGAGCTTTGACAATCACAAAGCTGCACAATATGCACCTCTTCAAAAACCCTTGCTATTTAGGGAGGCTGTCCTTGGAAGATGAATGTGGGGGACATCGTGTGCCTCGGGCCATAACAAGTTATCAAAGGTCCACGGTACGACACCTAACATCACAGTACAATTGTGGGATACAGCAATCAATTTCCAAGAACACAATCTGGTGCAGTCTTGTCTGTATGGGGTGTAACAACAGAAGAGCACTCAGGGTAGCTCTCCTGTCCACGCTAAAGCGCCCAAGGCATTTACAGTGAGATAAGAAACATCAGCTCTAGACTGTCGATGAGTGGAAAAAGGTTGTCTGGTCTGATAAATCATCGTGCCCACTACATCGCAACAATGGTAGACTTGCAGTGTATAAACAACATGAGGCGATGGACCCATCATGTATGATTACGGCTGTATAGGTCAGTGGGGGAGGTGTAATAATGTGGAGGCCACTGGACTGGCTTACACTCTGCTATTAATGTCTGTAGATTGATGCCTTAATGCCAGAGCATACCTTAACATCAGAGCAAATGTATGCTTTAATCATGGGAATGGGTACTAAGATAGGATAATTCTCTTGGTCACAGTAAAAGACTTGTCTTGGAATAGTCTGAGGAACATTTAGAATAATCAACTGATATTTCTCCCACTAAAAAAATAATAGGGGGGAATAAGGGGGAGCCACTCATATAATTACTCAAACAATTGCACAAAGCATGTGATGTGATTGTGCTCTTAACAATGACAATGTTAGCCTCAGTACTGGGAGGCTACTAGCTTGGTTTCAGACCAGTACATCACTACCCACCTCTCCGGTATGTTTAGTGATGGCCAGTGTGCGCTTATCGATGGCTATTTCCACGGAGAATAACTGACCAATGAGAACTTGGTAGACAGAATTAAGAATGGGGAGATCACCTTTACCTTCATAGCTACCTAACCAAGTATCTCCAAATTTGGTGATTTTTAATAAACATTTTTCTGATAAACTAAAGGATTAAGTGTTCCTTTATGAAAAATTCTCATACTTCTTTTGCAGAATAAACTAGTTTAAACCCCACATGGATTAGTTGGGAAATGCATTGTCACAAATCAGAAAAGGTCTGTTTCATGAAAAGTTGACTTGTTACAGATCTCACAATACAGTGATTCTACAAACATATGATGATCTTATAGAATATGATGCATTCCTGTAAACTACCCAACAGTTTGAAGTAGTGCAAATTAGCATCAACAACATCAACATCTACACCAGTAAAATGCAACAGACACATCAATGCACCAACAATATAAATCCAAAAACATTAACAAACACAAACAAGGTTCTGAATGCAGGACTTGATTTCTCAGGCGAAGAGGCTACATATCTGTTTTTTCTACTAAAGCTGCTATCAGCACCAAAAGTGGTCCAACATGTTTCTCAACCAAAGGTTGTCAATTCTCCTGATAACTGAATATATGACTGTAGATACTGGATGAAGTCTTTTTGGTTCGCTTGGTGCAATACAACTTATATTTTATGACTTTATGATTTTGAGAAAATCTGCAAATAACAAGCAACTCAGAACAGATGAATCGAGGGTGCTAGTGCACATTGATCCTCTCTTGAAATGATCTGTTTACAGCTGCATTTTCTGACCCAGCACATCATTTATGTTTCAGCCTTTAGGCCTCCTCTACTGCTGCATACATTTAATATTGGAGGAAAGTGTTTAGAATGTCACAGAGGTAAGAATGCAGTGTATACTAAACTTTGCTGCAGGAAACTATAAAGTTATGATTATTTGAAACGCAATTCTTATTTTCAGGTGATTACAAACTGATAAAAACATACCTATGAATATTATATTCCATCTCTGCCAGTAGTAACTCCTAAATGCTACGCACTGGACCTTTCTGGTGTATTCCAATTAGTAGTTAGTAATTGCTGAGAGTTGGAAACACTTTCTAATGGGGCAAGAAATGTAAGCGAGTCAGATGATCAGGCAGGTTGTAAACAAGCCAAGCCTGCGTCCCATTTCACAGAAGTGATTCGTAAGCACTGCTTACACACAGATTGCAAATTGCAACATCTTGTTTCACAAATGATGATAAACTGTGATGAATGTTTACAGCAGACAGATTGGGGAATATTTTTATTGTTGGTCCTCGTTTTCTCTTCCAAGTTTGTCTGACACAGAGATTTGTTTAAAACCTGGATGATCATCTTATTGCTCATGTTTCTTGCCCTGCCTGACTTTAGCAATGTCACCATTTTTCCACATATTGGCAAATGATGTTGTGAGAAAACTCTTGTTATAGAAATGATGGCCGAAACTACAAAAATAAGACCCGAGTTGTGATAGCCTAAAATTATCCGTAAAACACCATGTTAAATAAGGAAAATGTGACGTAGAAGCAAAGCTAATAATAAAGTAACAAAGATGACAGAAAGTCCAAACATATGTGGAGAGAGAGGCTGAGATTTGTTGATGCTAAGCCAGTCTGTGGGATGGTCTGGTCCTGAGGGTGAGTCAGAGAGTGGGTGTCCAGCGGTCAGGAGGACCATCAGGGGTACGTTTTGTTTTTAAGTGTGAGTGTGTGTGTGTGTGTGTGAGAGTGCGCATAAATCTGTGTGTCCTGATTTTGTTATTCTGCCAAATGTATTCAGCAAAATGCATCACAACGCTCGAGGCTATGATTTTTTATGATTCTCTGCCAGTGTGTGTTTTTTTATATTAAATTCTACGTAAGCTCGAGCCCGAGTTACTGCTGAGCAATTCGCCCACCACTGAGCTTTTCTTTCTTTCTCTGCCCCTTCTCTCTGCACCCCCCTTTCTCTGCCCCCACTCTGGTTTTATCTCTTTTTCTGCCTGTTTCTCTTTCTTTGCCTTATCCGTCCCTCTTTTTGTGAGGCTTTTCCTGCTGCATTTCTCTTTCACTGCCTACTTCCTGACTTTCTCTCTCTCACTTTGTCTCTCCATCTTTCCAGCCTTTGTCCCTCTCCTCTATTTCTCTATTTTCTGCCTTCTCTCTTTGCTGATGGCTCAAGAGCTCTTTTCACTCTGTCTCTGCTGGCCTCAGTTTCTATCTCAGGCAGGTCACACTCTCTTAGCCCTCGTCACAGACTGCCCACAGCTCCCAGAAACAAGCATACTAAATGATTCCCGGCAAGAGGCTTTTGTTTGAGATGGGGATGGAGAAAGAGAGAGAAAAATAGAGGGTTTATGTAACCACTCAGCTGCACAATTGACTCGCTCACTGACATGCTTTCTCCTTAGGTAAACATGGACCTTTCATTCCTTACAAGACCTCTACTGACCTTGTGGATCTTGCTCTAGAGAAAAAAGGAAGGTTTTACCTTTACGGTGTGTGTGTGTGTGTGGTTGACTGTAGGAGGTAAAGTTTTATGTCTTATTTTCCGTGGTGGAAGCATTCACATCATTTACTTAAATACCACACTGAAAATACTTCACTACAAGTAAAAATCCTGCATTGAAAATCTTACTTAAGAATTATCAGCATAATTTACTTAAGGTCCAAAGTGTAGGATTTGGTAGCATCTAGAATCTAGTTGAAAACAACTCCCCCGCCTCACCATCCCCTTCCATGCACGAAGGAGAAACTATAGTGGTCATGAAATGCGCAAAAAACGTGAGCAACCTTATCTAGAGCCAGTGTTGTTGCTGTTTGTCCCTTTTGGGCTACTGTAGAAACATGACGGTTGAACATGGTGGGCTAAATCCTACACACTAGACCTTTAATTCTAAAAAAAGAAGAAGAGAGTAACTAATAACTAAAGCTGTCAGAGTGGAGTAAAAGGTATGTAGTGGAGTACAAGTACACTGCATGAAAAGGAAATACTCAAGTAAGTACAAGTACCTTAAATTTGTACTTAAGTACATTTAGTGAGTGTATTTAATTACATTCAACCACAGCTTATTTTCAAAGTTTTGTCCATCATTCTTATTTGTAGTAATACCACCGTACTCACCTCAAGTTTACAGCTCAGATTTGGGAATCTGACGACACAGCTAAAAATAAGTCTGACGGGGTAGCTCAAGCTCTAGCAACAAATTCCCAGGTTAACCAAACTTATTTGAAAGAGAGAGGCAACGTGAGGCCAGGCATTGCTGTGGCACTAAAAACTGAGTTCTGTCCAGTCATGAATTTTATCATGACAGTGACAAATTAACTGTATAATAAGGTCAGTATCCCAGCCAATAGTGCTTTGGCGTATTGCCTTGGTGCTTCACAATTATTGGTGTAATCATAACTGATAGAAATAATCAAAACTCAGGAAAGTAAGTTGTTATAAACTGGAACTATCATTTTATGATTTCCTGGGTGTACTGTTGGGTTAAGTGGGTTAATTTGTTCACATACATATTTGCTTTCTTACAGAGAGGCCTGTAAATACAGTAAATGGTGTCACTACTGCTGAATCAAGTTTATATGATTCATTGTCTTATCCATATTGCACAACAATCAAGAGCAGAAAATAAAGGTTTTACTCATCAACCAGCTATGCCCTGTGGATTTTCTTTTCCCAACCATAGAATAAAAAACTAACAAATGTTTTTTTCCTTTCCACAATGATCGGTACACAAATCAAGCTTTGCAGCCACAGCCAAATATTGACCAGCATCTGACAATTGGCTGCTGTTCATTTTTAGCAACTCAGAGTCACTCACCAATGTTGTGTATTTTGATGTTTGGCCTGACTGTGTAGTCGGGAGGAGTCTGACTGGAGTCATCATCTGCCTGGGAAACTGAGAAACACACCACATATACACACAAAGACAGAGAGATAGAGAGAGAGAGAGAGAGAGAGAGAGGGAAGCAGAGGAGAGAAACAAAGATGGAGAGAGAGACATGGAGAGAAAACAGCCCATTAAAACAACAAGACTGAGTAAAATGTGCATTTTAGGACCGACTATATTGTACAGAGATATGGGAAAAAACTGTTGGCGTGCCCCTGCCTCTGAGAAAGCATGAAGAAATCCTGGACCGAGACTCCAGTCTTCCATCTGATGATTAAAAGCATTTGGAACCAGTGGACAGGAATCATTTTCACATTTACTGTTCGTCTAGACACAGAATTACATTCAGTCTGCATTGCCAAATGATCCATGAATGAATGATGTGTGGGTTTGTTGATATGCATGTGTATACGTCTTTGTGTATTTTTTTTGCTTTTTCCAATTAAATATGTGTGTCGGTGAGAGCCTGTGATTCCACTGCATAGTTAGGAGGATGAAATAGCATTTACAGAGAATTTACATAGAGGCTGGTAGCAATCAATTTGAAACTCTTTACAGATGTAAAGCGTATGCCATGAATATTCACATCTTTGTCTTATCTTTAAATCTTATAAGGGCTGAGACACACAGAGGAAATGAAAACGGTCTGGAGGCAGCTAAAATCAACAGCTTTTTGATAGCAAGCTGTTAAAATGACCTTGCTGAGTAAAGGTTGTGGATTGTAAACTGACTAAATGCACCAATGCGCACATAGTCAGTCATGCACACGCACAAACACACGTTAAAATATTTATGGCTGACATAGTACCACGTGCAGACACACACACACGCTCAAACACCAGCACCTCGAACACACGCACACGCACACACACAGAAGCAAATGGAGGCGTGGTAGACACATCAATAGATTAGCCGTGACACTGAGATGGGGGGGTGGGTGTTAAGGTGATGTGTACACAGGGGCTGACACTGGCCTGAGTGTGGGATGTATTAGTGCTGACAAGGTTAGAGGAGAGGGGGAGGCTTTCAGCACTGGGCTCCCTGATCAAAGGCCTGCAGGGGAGAGAGCAGGCTACCAGGGTAAAAATAACACACACACTATACAGAGCAGCAGGCATCAGAGAGCCAGAAAGAGAGAAGACGAGATAGACGGTGAGGGAGGAGGGAGGAGGGAGAGGGGAGGAGATGGTCAAGAGAGCTAGGGGGGAAAGAGGGCAGAGAGAGCTGGATCTTGTGAAACTGTTTTTTTACATCTTTTGTACATCTTCGCGAGAGCATGTCATTCACAGAGAGATAGAGCATTACTGTAATAGCACTGAGACAGAGAATAACATTAAACCATCACTCTCAAAGCGCTGCTTGAAGGGAAAAGACATCACCATCAAAACCTCGCCAAGACAGCGAGCGGCAGAAAAGCCTCTCTCTGAGAGGAGACTGTCAGATCTTAGTTTTTCTCTCTCTCTCTGTCTGTTTCTCTCTCTCTGCCCTCTTTGTCTCTCCTTTGTCTGCGTCTATGTGCGTTTGGGAGACAGAAAGAGATAGGTGGAGGGAGGACAGTGTAGGTAAAGTGACGCAGAAAGAGAGGAGATGATGTAAAATGAGTGGGAGAGAGCTGTGTGGAGGCAGGGCAGAAGAGGAGCTGTTGGGTCTCACCGGTGGAGCAGCAGACATAGACCCTCAGTCTCAGGCAGCTGTGGCCGTGGTGGTGGGTGGGCGTGGCTGAAACAGAGAGCAAACAACAACACGTCAACCTTGTGCCATCTGCAGGCCGCACCGCCCCTCAACAATCAGCTGTGCAAACTGCAGCCTGAGACTGAGCAACCGCCCAGTCCTCAGCTGAACTTCCACAATCTATTAGCAGCACCCACACGCCATCAATACATGTGGGTGACAGCAGCCTTAGAGCCACTCTGCATGCACTACTTCCTCTGGCTTTTCTATGCATTACAATGAAAACAGTGGCGTTAAGTAGCCTGACTCACAGATATAGTAGTACTCCTGGCCCACGTTGAACTCGTAGCCCAGCGAGAAGGCGCTGTAGCGCTGGAACTTCTCTGAGAACTTGATGGGGGCGTGAGGCGCATGGGGCCGGTTGCACTCCCAGCGCTTGAAGCCCAGCTGGGGGTCGCAGGTGCGGTAGCCACGGTAGCTGACCATGTAGAGGATGTACTGCTCGGCCACGGTGCGCTCCAGCGTCCCCCGCTGGGTGGTGTTATAGTGCGGGCAGTAGATGTCCAGGTAGTCGTTGACGCTGACCTGCACCGTGTATCCCTCTCTTCTTAGCCTGATGTAACAAAAAAATTAAAATAAATAAACACAGAGCGACAGAAAGAGAGGGAGAAAGGAAAGGGAAAGACAGATAGAAAAATGTGGATAAGTAACTATGGCTGCAAACAATGAATCGTTGTTATATCTATTAAAGGGATTGTTTCACAAATGTAAGGTTGCCAGGCAACGACACTCCAGAAAATCACTCCTTGCCAAGAAATAGTCCCGCAAATAACCCCCCTATAAAACTGCAAATTGTGCATCATTTTTGCAGTTTACAAACAAACTAAACATGTTTATTAAAGAGCTTTAGATGTGTTTGTAGGCGGATTTCTGTACATACATGGAGCCAGGCTAGCTGTTTCCCCCTGCTTCCAGTCGTTGTGCTAAGCTAAGCTAACAATCTCCTGGCTGTAGTTTATTATTGAACAGAGTGGTTTTTATCTTCTCGTCTAATTCTTGGCAAGAAAGCAAATGAGATTATTTCCCAAAACACTAATCAATTCCTTAAACTTCTTTAATTATCTTTAGAATTATTGTATTGATTCTAAAAAGAATGTTCTAACAAACAAACAAACCCAAAGATATTTAATTTACAATGAGAAAAACAGAGAAGCAGCAAATACTCATTTACAGGAGCAGTCCCAGAGGTGTACACTGGGTGGCTGCCACCCCTAAAAAAAAAAATGCCTGGCCACCCCCGCTGCCACCACAGTTTGGTGTCAATGCTGTCAAATCTCATGCATTCATTTAGATTCATTTTCATGTGTTTTGGTAACATTTTAGACGATGTGAAAAAAGTCTCCACGGCCCCCTCTTACCACCCCATAAATATTTCTCTGGATCTGCCCCTGCACATTTGAGAAGATAGAAGCAGTAAATAGTAATGTATTTTACTTGATACATTACATCAATTGCATTAAATGAGTAATCAAATAAATTAATCCTCTGCCTACTGACCAACTGATCTTTTCAGCACTAAAGTTAACATAAAAGCAACTCAAAGAGGCCAGAGAGCAATAGACTTTTCTCTCTGCGTACATTAACACCCTCTTTTCTTCAAGAGAGAAACTATTACACCTAAACTATCACCCCCCTCTGCATATAAAAACACATTTTCCTTGCTAAATGCCTTGTGGCGAGTGCTGAGGACGGTGCTGAGAATTATAATCTGCACTCCTGTTTTCCCCCCTGAGCCAGCTACAGGCCAGGTCATTGAGGCGGAAGGAGATCCTGTCAGTGGCGATGTATGCTCTGGCCGCAGGGGAACCAGCCTGCACACAGTACATATGATGGACCAAGCTCCCCCGACAGCCAAGGAAGGCCACTCTAAGGTTGAGTGAGTGTGTGTGTGTGTGTGCGTGTGTGTGTGCGTGATGTACATGATGGTACAGTAACCCTTCAGTTGATTCAAGACTCCTTGCTGAACAACTGAGGCAATGATGTGATATGATTTCGCATTCAGCCGCCACGCTGTGATCTCAGCTGTTTATAATACTAAGTATACTTATTATGTAAATTACACAATCTGTAATTAGACAAAGTAGAAGTCATTAGAAGGGCTCCTGCAGGTGAGCTGATGAGATGGGAATTGTCCTTGGCTGCAGTGATGTGTAACCTGCAACAACTACAGTTGTAATGACTCACTTGCACCACTAGGTGGTGGTATTGTGCTTTATTATGTTTAAAGAGCACTCCCCCCCTCCTCTGCACTCATTTTTTCTCTCCTACTGTTTGTCTCCTCTTTCTTACACATTTTCTGTTACACACATACAAATGAGCACTCAGTTGCACACACTCACAACCATCCTTCACTGTGTATACATTGTGCCTACACACTCTCACACACACACACACACACACACACAAAGCTGCGGACACGCTCTCACAAACATGCGCACACGTGCATACATTACTAGGTCAGGCCTCCAGAGAGATTATTATTCAATTACAAAATGTGGATCAGAAATGTCATGGCACCTCTCTCCTTCTCGTTCTCTCTCTCTTTTTCTGTCTCGCCATCTTTCTTGCGGTGGCGTTACAACTGTTCTCTTTTCTGGATCTTCTCCCATCCTCCTTTTCATCTCCACTCCTTGTCTTCGTTTACACACACGCTGAGGCAGATGAATATCAATTCTCTTAACCAGTGTTTCTTTTTGGGCCATCAATCTTATCTGTGCTTTCTATCCCTGCTGCTCAGATGTGAGATGACAGACTTTTGTCTTGCAGTGCTGCAGGAAGAGACAACACAGCTTTGCTTCAAAGGGACTATATTTAGAGAGGGGGGGAGGTTGTGATGGGGGAAGAGCAGAGGGGTAGAAAAAGATAAAGAGGTACAATGGGTGCAGGGTAGAGAGAATGGTAAGTAGATAGACCTAAGATGAAAGTGGGAGAAAGAGGGTGCGTTGAATATGAAAACATGCGATGAGGAGAATCCTGGATGCGAGTGGCGTGTAAAAAGTCGGAGAGTGATGCAGTCACTGAGAAACAGGTGAGAGGACGGCGGCGTGCGAGAGGAGCTGGATGCAAGGAGGCAAGAGCAGGAGGAAGAGAGTGTGTGTGTTTGTGTTTGAGCACTTGAGCATGCTGGGTTATACTGAGACAGTACAGCAAATGCAGCTAAAGGACCAGCGATTCATTTGTTCTTTTGATTTAAGATTTAGATGAATCTATTGTAATGCTACAATTCAACTCAATCTAATACAATGAACAGTACTCAATATCATTTTCTCACAATGTTTTTTAACAAAATGAAGACAAATTATAACTGAAAAAGATTCCTTTTCTTTTTTAATCTTAACACATTTGTATGGTGATGTAAGTGTCTCATAATATAACTTGCCATCCCTAACTGATTGTTTAGTGTATAAAATGTCAGAATGTAGTGGAAAATGACTATTACAATCGTACAGGGCCAATGGAGGTATCTTCATATTACTGGTTTTGTCCAATACACACTCCAAAATCCAAAGATATTCAATTTACAGTGATATAAAACTGAAAGAAAGAAGCAAATACTCACATTTGTGCAGCACATTTTGGAATGTTTAGCACTTCAGGTTGGTAAATAACTTAAATAATTACCAGTAATTAAACCCAAATTGGTTGCTGATTAATTTTCTGCTATTTGACTAATTGTTTCAGCAGTAGATGAACAAGCGACCCTGTTACTTTACTGTTTTGGTTATCACTCTGACTCACTAGACATAACTACACAGCAGGAGGACCATTTGTTCCAAACATAAAGTCAGCAGTAGAAGAAGCTGGGGAAGAAAGAAAGTAAGAAAGAGGAAGAGGAGGAGGAGGAGGGGAAAAATGACTCTGGAAGAAGAGGAGAAGGTAAGGTGGTGCAGAGGGGAAAAACAGGAGGAAAGGAGACTAAAAGGGTAGAGTGAGAAGAACAGGCTGGCTGGGTGAGAGGAGTCCCTCTAGGTGTACGCTGTTATATAAGCAGTCCACTTAGTGGCACAAGACAGAAAGGTTGCAGGGCAGAGAGGAACGGAGGAAAGAGAGGAGAAGAGAAACAGAAGAAGGGGGTGAGAGGAGATTTAATAACTTACGGTAGTGGGAGGAGGGGGATGGGTGAGGGAGGAAAATGCATTGAATGATGACAACAAAGAGAAAGGCGCAGAAAGGGAGGCAGAGGCGCAGACAGAGACATAGTGCTCCCCGGGGATGAACATATATGTGGTAAAAGTGCATAAAAAAGACTGATGGCTCTCATTCTCTTGTTGTCTCTCTTTTCCTGCAGCCGGTTCCCTCTCTCGAACTCTCTTACTCTCTTTCCGCTGTGCATCATCTCTGTGGTGGTTTTGCTGTCTCATCATCATTTTCCTATGAGTGGGAGTGTGCAGCTAGTTAGTAAAGGCTGCACAAGCTGGTGAAGACTGCCAGGGGAGGCAGATAGCAGCGGAGGGAGAGAGAGAAAGAGGAATACAGAAAGAGGAGGAGGGGGGCGAGGAAGAGTGAGACAAAGATAGCACCACTGCACCTTTCACATCTGCGCTAAAAAGAGTCTTTGGAGAATACCAACGGTATCAATAAATAACAATGGTGAGGTAGTGCTACAGCTAAAGACACTCTAAAACATACAGTTCAGTGGACAGAAACCGAGAATCTCCTACAACCACAGAACAAATCTATAACTCCTGTAGTGAAAAATAACAGGCAAAGATCATAAACAATAATTTGTAAGTCACAAAAAACGAGGAGAAATATGAAACATTATCAGAAAATATTTCCCTCACTTTCCACATGAGCGATGTCAATCATTTTTTGTTTTGCTTCACCAGGCTTAAAACTAAAACAAATCTGTGTCCTCTGTCATTTCTCTGCATAATAATTTTGCCAGACTGCATCAAAGTGAAAGCAGAAGCATGAGCGCTGCTGGCTTTCAAGGAAAATAATACCAGTGCAATTGTATTTGTTTTATTTTTTCTGTGTTTTTTTTTCTACTGACATGAATGGATATGAAAAGTCTAAATCCACAAATCCCAACTTAGTGCTGTTTGTTCTGCTACAGGTTCGCCCTACATTACTGCCAGAGGCTCCAACTGTTTCCAAAATTCCATTAAAAACAGCTGGAAGAGACAAGTTGTTGCTTTTGACAAGAGTAGTCCAACCTTACAGGAAAAAAGACAGTAAAAGCTTCTGACTGTGGAAAAGAAACACTTGTGGGTTTTCATCTCTTCATAGGTATTAATGCTGATAGGTACAGTAAGAATATAATTACACCAGTATTATCCTTTGCAAATACACATATCACATAACTCTTGGAGGCTTACTTTTATAGACCATGAAAGTCAAATAACTGTTTTAAAGCAAAGTGCTTTTATTTCTTCCAGTGCTTACATTACCAATTTTCTCTTATTTGGCCAAAATGTCCTTCTTGATTCAGTTTCCTTGCCAACATATCTGAAGTCTTCTCTTCCCACTTGCTTTATGTGCTTGTATATCTACATAATAATTATGAACATAGCTTTTTTGAGTAAAAAATAGCACCACGGAGTCAGTATG